AGAGCTGTGGATCAAGTTCCCAGATGCAGCGTTACTTTGAATATTAAAAATCTGGTACATTAAATACTGTATGCAGGTAGAATCTGCATCGCCAGCTGCTTGTCCTTGTATTAGATCTGAAAAGGAAATCCTGCTATTTTTAGAGGCATTTGATCTCACTACTTGGTGTTAAACTGCTGCAATGGGTAGAAATTGAAGTCTTTTTTTCTCTCTGCTTTTAGATATCTGCTTATGAGGACTCAGTTGCTGCTCATCTTGCAAAAATTCTCAATTCTGATCAGCACTCAGTTGTCATATCATCTGCCAAGTGAGTTGATCAGTTTTATGTGTGATGTGTAGGATAAATCCCCAGTACAACATCATCATCATAATAATCTTCTGTCTAAGCCTGATTTTCTTATGGCTGGCCTGACTGGCCTGGCTTAATATATCATGATTTATATCTTTTAGAGTAGATATTTATTCTGCAAATGTTTTATACGGTGCAATTGTAATGGATAGCTTAATACTAAACACATCAACATTTTTTTAAAAATTCACATGATATAAAATGATTTTAAATCTCTCCAAATCAGCATGCATCTTGAATATGAAAATTACTGTTACTAGTGTGTAAATGTGGTCTACTTCACATTACATTTCTTCTGTTTTGTTTTATGCATATCCTTATCTTTAAGAGGACAAACAACTTCACCAGTGTGAAGCAGAACTTAGGGCTAAGTAGCTTTGTCATAGCTCTTGTCTGTATCAATTCAATTGATAGTGGTTTCAGACAATGGTTTGGGGTTTTTTTCCCCCAAACTGAAACACTTCAAAATGAAAGATAATTACTTGGCAAGTCATGGACATCGTCTGAAGTCAGAAATATTCTATGCATACCTTCTCTGTGAAAAAAAATCTTGTATTTTGTAATATGCAAAAGACCGGTCACAGAATCTTCAAAAATACACCTGAATGTCATTACATCTCTTTTTCTATTTTAATGCTAAAAGCAAGTTAATAAAGTTTCATTTCTGAAGTATAAATAGCACATGTTGAAAATGAAGCTGGAGGTTGTTATTATAACTCCAAATTCTAAACTTGGTCTGTACCTTGTTAAATCCATTTAATTTCTGGCAAATAAATTTCAACCAAATGAACAGTACTAAGCAATTATCCGCACCTCGTTAGTGAGTTTGCTGTCTGTCTACACTGTAGGTAATAAGAACCAAGTCCTTCCCTGATTTACACAAAGAAAATTCATTGCAGCCCACTGTAGTTTGCCCAGATACGCCTCAAGGTCAGCTGTCGTTCAAAAGCGTGAGCTGTGCCGTGGGTGCTGTGTGGCCACATGCTTTCATCTGAGGATTTCAGGCTCTGCTGAAGGCAGTAGATTTTCTCCATGGTTTCTGGGCTCGATCTTTGCACGGGAATTGGCAAAATTGTGCTTGAACTTATAAAAGTGAATGCACGTTTGCTGTCTCCTCTGGTATGGAAAGTGTACCAGCAAGGGAGTGGATAAAAGGACTCACGTTTGTTTCAGTTCTTAGAAATAAGAAGCTTTTAGATACACTGTGTGCAAAAGCTTGGGTAAAAGGGAGGGAGTTGTAAAGCTTATCAGTTGGATTTTGCATGCCATGGAAAAGAGTATCATCTGCTTTGCAAGTAGGACCACAGAGTTAAGTTTCCAACAAGAGTGATGTATAGCAGTACGCATACTAAGAAATGGCCGTAAGAATGTTAATATTCCAAGCATATCTATTTTATTTTATTTGATTTGTTTTCTCCCCTCCTTTTTTTATCTGAAGAATATTATGTGAAACTGTAAAGGACTTTGTTGCCAAAATAGGGAAGACTTATGAAAAACCAATGGAAAATGCAGAGGAAGCTGATGCCATGGCCATTAAAGTAAGACTATGACTATATTCTGGTTTAAAGTTGTGGTATTTTAAAGTTTATAGCTCATGGGTGTTTCATTTTCAGATTGCTCCAGGATGCCTAGCTTGGCTTTCATTTCAACCAGTCACTTCTAAATTCTTCCCTTCTTACTGCATGGAGCAGTTATTTCCAAACCATCTTTAAACTCAAGATCTCTATAAATTCTGTTTACACTTTTTTCCTTTGTAAAGGATAAAGCTCATGGCAACATACATAGAGTTAAAACCAAAAATTTTGTTTAGGAGTTATATTTTTAGGGATTAAGTTAGCTACAGGAAAACAATGGGATAACAATGAGAGGGTATACTGGGAGAATGAAGGGAAAAGAGACTAATATGTTAAAAACAATCATTTAAGCTGCAGATCGAAGTGATCATGTTGCAAAAGCACTGAAAAAAACACAGAAGGCTTTGGTGTAAGGCACAAAATTTTCATGAGTGGAAAAGAAAAGAAGAAAACAAAATCATTAACAATCCTAGAGTCAGGAAATGTACTTGCTAAATGGCAATTTGTGGTTCATGTTTCTCTTTGGTGCACATTTTAGAAAATCAATTTTTCCTTTTTTACTCTTCCAAGGCCACAGTGTGTTGCTTTCCTTTCCCTTAAGGAGGCAACATCACCTGTTTTCCAGTGTACCTAGAGAAGGCAACTGCTTAGGGATGGGTAGAAGTGTTTGACAGTGTTTGGTCCTGTCTTGAGCCTCTTTGCTCTGTGACAACCCACCAAGTTAGTTGCAAGACCAACCCCATGTGTCTCAGTCTAACAGCTGGGCATGTCCTCATAGATTATCTCTCCAAACTAGGGTACTGAGCACCCATAATTTCTTCTAGTGCTGCATGATATGTGCAAATCTGTGGTGGTTCTCTGTGCTGAAAGCCGCTGGGAGACGAGTAAGATCTAATCTGTACCCTAATGGCAGGCTGAGTTTAGCCCAGTGTGGTAATTTAATGTGATTGTAGGGATTGGTTTTTTTATAATTGCTCTAATCTGGTTGAGCCTCACAGGGTATGTCTGCAGAAAAGCCATTCAGATCTCCTCATAGTCTGATAGTCTAAAATGTTGAACCTAGTTTTGCATTTTACGTAAACAATTGCAAAGATACTTAAGACACAAACAATCTTAAATACAGCCTGGTACTTAATTTCCTGAAAATGTTCACGCATTCACTCATTTTGTGTGTGTGTGTGTATTCTTTTCCACTCTTTCTTAGTGCTCTGAGTTAAATGAGAAGCTAGACCTGTTGCTCCAGGCTCTTCACACGGAAGCCCAGGCTGCTCCCATCCTCCCAGGCATCGCTCCCCCCATTGTAGAAGAAGAAGCTGAGGAGTTTTCAAGTGAAGAATCCTTGTCTGAAAGTAAAGAGCAATTAGCAGAGTGTGTCTCAAAGTCTTCCACCCAGAAACTCTTCAAACCAAGGGAACAGTTAATGCTCCGGGCAAACAGCTTGAAAAAGGCTGTGAGGCAGATCATCGAACAAGCAGAAAAAGGTGCACGTCAGCAACATTTTGATCCTTCCTTGTAGAATAATGATGATTTATTTATTTTTTAAGCTAGCATAAATTTTCATTATTGAAGTTTGGTTTCTGCATTCTTACATAGATAAAACTATGTACTCATTACAAGCTGTGAAGATAGAAATGTAGCTTGTTTGGGTGTTGATGATTGTCTCTAAATGTGAATACATATGTTTGCACATATGTGCACATGTAAAAGTTTACTTCTTCTGTAACTATAGTGCTCCACAAAATGAAAATTTCTAGCATCACATCTTTATCAATGGGCAAAGGATTGCTAGGCAGTTTTTCACTGAATTGGCAACAAAAGTCTTTTGTTAATAATTTTAAACTTAAAACTACATAAAAAGAAGAAACTGAATTTTCCATGTATGCAGCTTTTCTTTAGGAATACTGAAACTTTCTGTCTTTTTAATAAGCAGTTGTGGATGAGCAGAATGCTCATAGTGAAGAACAAGTGAACCAGTCTCCACTAGAATATAGCAAAGAATTGGATGAATCCAAAGAAGAGGAAAAAGAGGAAGATACAAAGGAACTTGAGTCCCCATCAGGTGAGTAAATTAGGAATAATATAATTTAAAGTTATGTGGTCTCCTTATAGTTGCATTATGGAGTGTGCATCTTGTTTTACTGGAAACAAATTTTAATAGATTTGGATAAGTAAAAATTAAGGGAAAAATGCGGCTGATGGGATGAACAACCTTTTGAAAAGTGTGTATAAATCTGAGAAGGTATTTGTTGGGGAGAAGAGTGCCTGCATTTAATCTAGTGCTCACACTCACCTTTCTACAAGAACCTGAGCGGGGACTAAAGAGAGCCTGGTTAACCGTGGCAATGGCATGTGGCAGTCGTAGGCATTTTAAGAGCGTATTAGAGGAATTTCTGTCAGTAATTTCTGTTGAAAGGCTTTCAAGTTGTGTGAAACAGACATATTTATTTATTGTTTTGACAACAAAACCCTGATGTCTCAGCTGGGAGCTTACCTTGAGACAGTTATGGGAACAGAGAATGAATATTTAGGTCTTCCATATGAAATGGAACAGCATAAAGCAGGAAAAAATGTACTGGAAACCGGAATATGGAAGTCTCCTGAGAAGTGGCAGTACTAAGGTCACCCTCTCTATTTGTCTAATCCACAACAGAAAGTTGAACCAAAGTCTTTAATATCCTAGAGCTCTTTGCCATGAAGGATTTCTCGTGCTGTTATCCCAAATACAGGTCGTTAGTCCAGTGAGTTCCATGCGGCTATTGGCTGCTGTGTAGGAAACCATATAGCAAGACACTATACCAAGATACTCTTGATTTCCAAGATGTAGAGCTCCTTACTTCTTCTGCCCTTGGTCAGATGGACTGTATCATCTGCTGCTGTCTAACTGCTCCTGCTTTCCTGTAGGATCGTCATTGTGTCCTCACTGTGGGGCTCTGCAGGTTACTCTCCAAGAAAAAAAAAAAAAGACAGCTGGGTTTTAAAATGCATCAGAAAGATGTATTATTTGTATCAATAATTGTACAAAGCCATTAGAATAATGAGTGGTCTGTGTCTAAACAAACTTGATTTTCATAAAGTAATAGCCCATTCTGTCATTAAGCTTTCCTTCTGGCTATTCAGTGTTTGGTTACTGTGTGTAAAATGATATTTAGAGAATAGTCATCTCCCAAAATAGAGTAGTGCTAATTCCCACATTCAAATGATAGGTTAAAATCTCTCCTTCATGTGTCCTTTATGAAATCTGCCAGTGAGTGGCTGCAGTGGAAAAAGGAAGGACTATTTGTCTGTATGGGATCCTCACTTACCTTCTCCTTTGTTTGCTTTTGGCACCAAGTCAGTCCAGCCAGAGGTCGTGTTTAGACATTTTCCATCACAAATGTCAATACTGCATCTTATGTTGACTGGTAGTTCATGTGTAAGGGTTCTTCGAGGACCTCAAGCTGCACAGTCATTTTAGGAAAGCTGCTTCTTACCATGGGTGGAAGTTTCAGCTTTTGCCATGTTATCGAAGTGGACAGTGATGCACTGCAGGTCTTGAGATGCACCTGCGAGTCATGGAGGAACAGTGGTAGCTGGTGGGCAGCAAAATCTCTGCTCTAGGTATTTAGTTAGCAACTTCTTGTGGCAAAATGAGCAAAAGCGTTTGGGTTGTGCATCTCCTTTTGTTACCCTGACCCACACCAACAACCTCAAATGGTGTCATCCTCATGACTCTCTGCTCTGAAGCTGGTGTCTATGCCGGTAGCCCCTACCATAGAAATATGACATTAGTCGCTGGGGGTACTGTTGATTCAGAATATCACATTTCCTTTTCTCCAGGAATGGATGTCAAGGACCTTCATTGGTCCCTCCCCTTTTCCCTTGGTTATAGGAGTCAATGCTTGCTGGTTTTCCAGTTTCAGTAGTAGTTCATAGAGGATTCTGGCCCTACAGATAACCCATTCCTACTGCCATAAATATACAATAAAATAAATATATAGCATACGTATTCTATATGTAGAAATATATATAACCCCCTTGTTTCTTGGTGATACGATTTCTGGGTTTATTGGAGAGCTGTATTATTCTTCATATAATCTGATATGTGTGAAAATGAGCACATATTAAGGCTGTCAGTGGTGTTTAGGGACAAAGCATGAAACATGAAATCAATTATCTGCAATGAAACATCGGTTTTACTCATTAGGGCTCTGTTCTTTTTATCACAGCATGAACAGCAAAAGTTTATCTTTATTGCAGTTATCCCCAGGAGTCTCATCTGTCAAATAAAGAGCAGCTGCTCTGTTGATTTTTCTATTTAATATAACTGCCTTGTTCCCAAGTACAGAGACGAGAGACTTTGTGAATAACATTGTGAATTTTTCAGTGGCATTATGAAAAGAAAATGTTAACTTTGTTCTGAATACTGTATTTTACCCACTGAGGATCTTCTTGGTCACTGAATGAAGATAATGTTCTCCCATATGTTAATTACCTTAATCTAAATATTTAATACTTCTTGTCAGATATTCCTTGCAATTTTTATTCGTTTTCATTTTTTAACATTATTACAGTGGGTTTTTGTGCAGAGATACATTGTGTTACATTGTTATAATGCAATATCATAGCATTTTGTGATAGCTGCTAAGGCTGTTATGTAGATGTTAAAGTCAGAAGGAGCTGTTAGTCCACTTGGTCAGAACTTTCATCTAGAACAGTTCAGAAAATTTCACCCACTTATCCTTGTCTTGCATCTAATAATTTATTTTTGGCTTAAGCAATTCATCCAGAAACGTGTAATATTACTCCTGGGATACAAGAGGATGAAGAATTTGCCATTTCATTGACTGTTCTGTGCTAGCTTACCATCACTTTAAAAAAAAGCTAATGCCCAAGTCCTGGTCTGAATTGATTTGAACACAGTTTCTAAATGCTGCTTCTTAGTACCTTTGTCTCTAGATTTTCCCACTCTGCATTTTCTTGCCATTAATGTCTTCATGCAGAACACCTGCGTTACTCTCAGGCTATTATGATTGACGTGAACTGATCTGCCCCTCTCCTGCCACTAAAAAGGATATATCTTATCCTTCCCATCGAATTCTTGGTTGTGTTTTTCTTCTGCTTTCTCAGTGCTAGTTCTCATCATTCTATTTTTTGCCAAATTAGTTTTCAAGTTTTGAGAGGAATATAACAGATCATTTTGAAATAATTTCGTTTTTTGTTCTGTGCTTCTTCAGACGGTCAACGTTGAAGTTGTCCTGAGCTGAAGTAGTTTTAACATGTGAGATAATTTGGAGCAGAGGTAGCCAAGAAACATCTGTCTGTGATCATGTGGTCTGCAAAAGCTTTCTGCACATGCATGGAAATGCTATAACAAAGCATTCGTTAATACCCAAACTTGCTTGCCTGGGGCACCATTTTCTGGCTATGTCTGACAGGGCTAAATTTCACAAAGATTAACTTCCCCATGCTAAAGCAGGCACTGATATATTCTCTCAGCCTGCATGAGACAAGTTCTGCCAGGAAAGTAAATTATTACAGCACCTGAGGTCAGCCTCCTGAAAAGCCTATCCTTCTTCATCGCCTCCAGAGGCAGCCCCAGGGGTAACTGGCCTCACTGAGCTCCCAGTTACTCTTTGTGAACATCTTTTCTTTCCGCTTGATTTTCTTCCCCTTCTCTTTCTGAGCATTTGTCACCAGCAATTACATTAGCTACTGAACCTTGCTATTTGTCACAAGGTTTTATTGATCCATCTTCTGCAGAACTTGAGCGGATAAGTTATTTCAAGTATTTTGGGACTTGCTGTTTGGTTTTTTTCTTTCAGAAGAAAAGATTATGCCCCACACAATCTTTTTTAACTGCAGAAGACAAAGCACGGTTTCTCCCTTCCCTTGCAGTTTTCAGTTTGGCTGTAAATAAAGATGTCAGAGTTTTGTCTGATGTTTTCAGAAATTTGCTGCAGGCAGGGGGCCCATTTTAACTGCTTGAAGCAAATAATGTGACTGTTGCTCAGGTATTTCCATGGCCCATGTGTTAGAATAGCTATCTATATTAAAATTGTTATAAATAATAATGTACTTTATAATACAGGTATATTTATACATAAACATAGATTGAATTTAACTTCTTACTTCATTAACGTGTTTATCAGAACCTACTACAGCATGAAATACTATGGCACTTTAAGGTGGATATAATGCTGTTTTTGCTAATACCTTGAAGCCTAAGTTGGGAACTCCTCATACTGAATGTACACTTACTCAGTTTAATGTTTGCTTGTCATTTGATCTGTTTCTGAGTTTTCTTCCCTGTATTTAGAGGAAAAACTGTGGTGTGAGGGGGAAGGACATTTGTCACAGAATGGTAACAGATGAAATTAATGCTTCTGAAATATTTTCAGGGCTGTAAAAAATACATATTTGATGTCATAATAAGCCTAATTGGTGCTCTTACTTCTGCACAGTTAAAACAGCACCAAGATCTCCAGATCGTCGTACAAGCCGAGGTATCCATTCTCAGACAGGCTCTTTCTCTGCTCCAGGTTTGGCTGCAAGCAAGGAAAACCTCCCAGTGCTTAACACCAGGATTATCTGCCCAGGTAATTACGATTTTGAAATCTGCTGTTCCTCACAATACTGTAATATTGCCTTCTGTTCCCCTGTTTGCTGTCAAAAAAACAAATTTTACTTCATGCCCTGAATTTGTTTGACCAACATACACATCTTTGTGTTGTATCATGTAGTAGGAAATGCAAAATAACGCAGAAGATTGCTGATCGTTTAGCACCACACCAGATGTAACAGAAGTGGTTGTGTTTGATTCTGGAGGATGAAAAATGAAACTCAGGGTCTTAGAATCATAGAATCACAGAGTTGTTTGGGTTGGAAGGGATCTTTAAAGATAGTCTAGTTCCAAGCCCCCAACCATGGGCAGGGACATCTTTCTCTAGATCAAGTTTCTCAAAGCTCCATGTACTCTGAGCTTGGATACTTCCAATGATGGGGCACCCACATCTCTCTGGGCAACCTGTTCCAGTTCCTCGCCACCTTCATAATAAAAAATTTCTTCCTTATGTCTAATCTAAAATTACTCGCTTTCAGTTTAAAACCATTGCCATTTGTCCTATCGCTACAGGCCCTGGTGAAAAGTCTCTCAGTCTTTGACTTATAAGTCCTCTCTGTATTTTGAAAGGCCACAATAAGGTCTCCTTGAAGCTTTCTCTTCTCCAGGTTGAACAACCCCAACTCTTTCAGCCTGTCTTCATAGGAAAGGTGTTCCAGCCCTCTGACCATTTCAGTGGCCCTCCTCTGGATCCACTCCACCAGCGCCCTGTCTTTCTTGTGCTGAGGACTCCAGAGCTGAATGCAGTAGTCCAGAGTGGACTAGAGGGGCAGAATCACCTCCCTTGACCTGCTGGCCACACTGCTTTTCATGCAGCCCAGGATACATTTGGCTTTCTGGGCTGTGATCGCTAATTGCCGGCTCACATCCAATTTTTCATCCACCAGTATCCCCAGGTCTTTCTGTCATTCATCCTAATCAGCACAGGCTGTGAAGGGGCTGAGAGGCAAAGCCATGTAAAGTTCAACCCTCTGAATAAGTGATGCCCATGGGAACGTCTCTGGAATCAGATGCCTGAAACTACTGTACAGTAAAAACAGGGGGAAAAATAATCTATTCTTATCCAAATGCAGTTAATACTAGGGGGCACCAGTAAAACACTGGTTTGATTCATTTCATTAGTATAGTAAGCTTCCATATTTCTTTAGGTCAGTGTAAGTGACATCTTTTAGAAAGTATTTTTTGTTGTTTACATGCATTACACAGATGTTTTGTTGAGTGGCATCAGTACCGGTCAAGGAAGGCATGGCAAGGCTGTGGTCTTTCCACAAATTAAGTTAAACTATGTCGCTACTGTTTGTAAAAATGGTAGGAGTATTCCTTAGGAATATTTCCAAAGGAAGGTACCAGATGAAAATCATGGCCACTTTGGAGATGAAGATTAAACTAAATAAAAAGCTCTAGTAGTCCTTTTGGATGTTAGGCTACCCATTTGATTACTCTGCCCACCAGCAAGTGTTGGCCTGAAATTCTGAGTTTTCTTGTGTTTTATTCTTTGTCGATGGTGGCACCTAGAGAGTCAACCACTGCACTACAGCGTGGCTGCCTTTTTGTTCAAGAGAGCCAGATACCTGAAGAGATAACCAATATATATAAGATAACTATATATAACATATATAAAATAACCATAAAATATATAATGCAG